TCCTAGCCACCGTGATAATGATGAGAGGGAGACACGCAAACTCCAAATATACAGCAGCAGGCGTCAGGGTCAGGATCGAACATACGACCTCCTGCCTACCAGGCAAGGTAGTTAACATCTCCTAGCCCCCGTGATGATTGTGATGATGAGAGACACGCAAACTCCAAATATACAGCAGGCGTCAGGATTGGGATTGAATCCACGACCTCCTGCACACCAGGCGAGGTAGTTAACATCTCCTAGCCACCGTGATGATGATGAGAGAGAGATACGCAAACTCCAAATATACAGCAGCAGGCGTCAGGTCAGGATCGAACCCACGACCTCCTGCACACCAGGCGAGGTAGTGAACATATCCTAGCCACCGTGATGATGATGAGAGAGACACGCAAACTCCAAATATACAGGTGTCAGGTTCAGGATCGAACCCACGACCTCCTGCATACCAGGCGAGGTAGTTAACATCTCCTAGCCACCGTGATGATTGTGATGATGAGAGACACGCAAACTCCAAATATACAGCAGGCGTCAGGATTGGGATTGAATCCACGACCTCCTGCACACCAGGCGAGGTAGTGAACATCTCCTAGCCACCGTGATGATTGTGATGATGAGAGACACGCAAACTCCAAATATACAGCAGCAGGCGTCAGGTTCAGGATCGAACCCACGACCTCCTGCTCACCAGGCGAGGTAGTTAACATCTCATAGCCACCGTGATGATGATGAGAGAGACACGTAAACTCCAAATATACAGCAGGTGTCAGGGTCAGGATCGAACCCACTACCTCCTGCATACCAGGCGAGGTAGTTAACATCTCCTAGCCACCGTGATGATGATGAGAGTGAGAGACGCAAACTCCAAATATACAGCAGGCATCAGGATTGGGATTGAATCCACGACCTCCTGCACACCAGGCGAGGTAGTTAACATCTCCTAGCCACCGTGATGATTGTGATGATGAGAGACACGCAAACTCCAAATATACAGCAGGCGTCAGGATTGGGATTGAATCCACGACCTCCTGCACACCAGGCGAGGTAGTGAACATCTCCTAGCCACCGTGATGATTGTGATGATGAGAGACACGCAAACTCCAAATATACAGCAGCAGGCGTCAGGTTCAGGATCGAACCCACGACCTCCTGCACACCAGGCGAGGTAGTGAACATCTCCTAGCCACCGTGATGATGATGAGAGAAACACGCAAACTCCAAATATACAGGTGTCAGGGTCTGGATCGAACCCACGACCTCCTGCACACCAGGTGAGGTAGTGAACATCTCCTAGCCACCGTGGCGCCCTATCTCTGATACTGACCTACGCAGGGCAATGCACTCACTGAACCGTCTGGAGTCCACGCCACTGTAAAAGTGTTTTCTGCTCACGGTTCCGGCTTACAGACCTTCAATAAAGCTTGCACCAGGAAGTCCGCAGTGGAGTTAGTACACATTCTATCGCATGACATTGAAACATATCCATTTACAAAACCTCACTTTAGCACAATTACCACGCTGTAATTAATTATGTGTACAGTATAGGGTATTGTACTTATGAACTAATCCAGTTAGCCGTGGCAATGTTATTTTTTCTTTCTACTCACCGATATAAAAAATGCTGTTAATCTTTTACTCACGTGTTACTGTACATACAAAGACAAAGATCCCCCGTGTAGCCTCAACAGACTGTTGGGGCAAGTGCTGTTAGCGAGCACATATGAAGGCCGGCACATGGGGGGAGGGGGGGGGGGTGACCAGCACCACGCCCGGTCACCTTTGTCTCCCCAGTGGTGATGTTTACAGAGCTCACTATTCACACAAACACACACTCACTCAGAGAGGCGTGTGACAGATGAAAGCTGTGAGAAGCGAATGAGCTGTGAAGAAGATCTCTGTGACAGATGTCCGAAGGTCTTCCGACTGACCAGTGACGATAACTCAGTGGGACAGAGAGGCGAGCACGAGGAGTTGACATTCAGACAAGCCACACACACACAGGACGAGATGTCCAGAGGCACTCACAGGGGACAAACATGAAACAGATACCGTATAGAAAGGCCATAATTATAATAAATATTGGGGGGGACACACACATCCCCAATATTCAAATATGCTCAAAATGCCCCCCCCACCAATATATTGCTATAAAATAGATTTCTGTTTATATGATTGTGGTTATGGTTGTAGTTTAGTAATCCATAATCTCTGCCGTTACATATAATGAAACAAGAAAAGATGAACAAAAACAAAGCAATGTAATGTAATACACTATTAGACATTATTGTAAAAAAGAAAAAAAGTCCATCCTCTGTGTTAGTGATTTTTTTAATATTTTGGGCAGGAAATGGCAGGAAATTCGTTTTCAAATTTAGATTTTTTTTCTGGGGGGGCGCCCCAAATTCACTAACACATGGGATGAATTTTTTATTTTCTTTTTTACAATAATGTCTAATAGTATATTGTATTACATTGCTGTTTTTTTCTTTTTTTGCCTTTTCTTGTTTCATTGTATGTAATGGCAGAGATTAGGGATCAATAAAGTACAACCATAACCACAATCATATAAACAGAAATCTTTTTATAGCAAAACATTGGAGGGGGGGACATTTTGAGCATATTTGAATATTATAATGACGGCCTTGACACAGAGAGAGAGAAGTGCCAAGGCAGATGGACAAACACAATGGGGCCTAGTGACAGAACGTCATTGTCAAGAAACAAACCGGTACAGAGACAGACAGACAGACACGGGAGAGACGCTCACAGGCACAGAGACAAACACAGAAAGAGAGATGGAGAGACGCTCACAGCCACAGAGACAGACACAGAAAGAGAGATGGAGAGACGCTCACAGGCACAGAGACAGACACAGACAGAGAGATGGAGAGACGCTCACAGGCACAGAGACAGACACAGACAGAGAGATGGAGAGACGCTCACAGGCACAGAGACAGACACAGAAATAGAGATGGAGAGACGCTCACAGGCACAGAGACAGACACAGACAGAGAGATGGAGAGACGCTCACAGGCACAGAGACAGACACAGAAAGAGAGATGGAGAGACGCTCACAGGCACAGAGACAGACACAGACAGAGAGATGGAGAGACGCTCACAGGCACAGAGACAGACACAGAAATAGAGATGGAGAGACGCTCACAGGCACAGAGACAGACACAGAAATAGAGATGGAGAGACGCTCACAGGCACAGAGACAGACACAGAAAGAGAGATGGAGAGACGCTCACAGGCACAGAGACAGACACAGAAAGAGAGATGGAGAGACGCTCACAGGCACAGAGACAGACACAGAAAGAGAGATGGAGAGACGCTCACAGGCACAGAGACAGACACAGACAGAGAGATGGAGAGACGCTCACAGGCACAGAGACAGACACAGAAATAGAGATGGAGAGACGCTCACAGGCACAGAGACAGACACAGAAAGAGAGATGGAGAGACGCTCACAGGCACAGAGACAGACACAGAAAGAGAGATGGAGAGACGCTCACAGGCACAGAGACAGACACAGACAGAGAGATGGAGAGACGCTCACAGGCACAGAGACAGACACAGAAAGAGAGATGGAGAGACGCTCACAGGCACAGAGACAGACACAGAAAGAGAGATGGAGAGACGCTCACAGGCACAGAGACAGACACAGACAGAGAGATGGAGAGAGGCAGCCAGACGTCCCCGGCAGGAAAAACAAACACGGAGACGGACTACAGCGAACGCTGGGGCCACTGCAAGTGTAGGCCATCATCATCATCGTCTATGCACGTGTCGACTACACACGCGTGTGTGATGGACGTCCACCACCACCATCACCACCCAACACCACCACCACCATCATCACCCAACACCATCACCACCACACCACCACCCACACCAGCCAACACCACCACCCCCCACCACCACCCCCCAACACCACCACCCCAACACCACCACCATCACCCCCCCCCACTACCCCCCCCCACTACCACCATCACCACCCCCCACCACCACCCCCCCACCACCACCACCCCACCACCATCACTACCACCACCATCACTACCACCACCAACACCACCCTCCACCCAACACCACCCCCCCCAACACCACCACCATCACCCCCCTACCACCACCACCACCCCCCACCATCACCCCCACCAACACCACCCCCCACCACCACCACCCACGGCCTTCACAGGCGCTGCAGGCTGCTGCTCGCCACTTGCCCCGCAACGACGACGAGGCTACCCGGGGGATCTTTGTCTTTGTCTCCGCACAGCAGCGGCGTGCACGGACACGCGCGCGTCTCGTGCAGAGATGGGTGCCTAGTTAGTGAGTTAGTTATGGTGAGTTATGGTTAGTTAGTTATGGTTAGTTAGTAAGTTAGTTAGTAAGGCGTTAAGTTGGTTAACTAAGAAGAACAGCAGCAACAGCAGCAGCAACAACAGCAGAAGAAGCAGCAACAACAACTACAGAAACAACAACAGCAACAACAGCAGCAGAAGAAGCAGCAACAGCAACAACAACTACAGAAACAACAACAACAGCAGCAGCAGCAGCTCACCTTGTCGAGACACCAAGTCGTCAGTCAGCCCGTGGAGGTGTCTTGACGATCTATCCCCTACCACCCCTCCACCACCACCACTACCACCACCACCCTACCACTACCACCACTACCACCACCACCACTACCACCACCACCCTACCACTACCACCACTACCACCACCACCACTACCACCACCACCCTACCACTACCACCACCACCACCCCTACCACCACCACTACCACGACTACCACCGCTACAGGCAACACGACGCCCCCTCAGCGGGGCCCCCCACGAGTTCCGCGGCTTGGCTCACAAGGAGAGAGAGAGGGGGGGGCCACCACCTCCCTGGACGTCGTGCCGCTGCCTTGAAGGGTCGGGGGGGGGGCTGTGTGGGAAGGTGGAGGTTGGTGAGTGGCTGAGTGGGTTGGTGGGGTGAGTGGGTGGGTGGGCGGTCTCTACCTTCCGCAAGCAGGTGAGGGGGTGAGGCCGGAACGTCGTCACTCGGCCACCGCCCCCTTCCTCTGCCCTGCCCAGGCGAGCAGCCCGCCCCTCCCGGGGTGTCACCTGCACCCCCCCCACCCGTCCCCTCCCCCCCTCACCCCCTCTCCCCCGCCCTCTCTCCCCCCCGCTCTCCCCGCCCCCCCCCACCCTCTCCCCCCCGTCCCCTCCCCCCCACCCTCCCCCCCGCACCCTCTCCCCCCCCGCCCTCTCCCCCGCGCCCTCTCCCCCCCGCCCTCCCCACCCTCCCCCCCCCACCCTCTCCCCCTGCCCTCTCCCCCCCGCCCTCCCCCCCCGCCCTCTCCCCCCACCCTCTCCCCCCCCACCCTCTCCCCCGCGCCCTCTCCCCCCCGCCCTCCCCCCCACCCTCCCCCCCGCACCCTCTCCCCCCCGCCCTCCCCCCCCCGCCCTCTCCCCCCCACCCTCTCCCCCCCCACCCTCTCCCCCCCCACCCTCTCCCCCGCGCCCTCTCCCCCCCGTCCCCTCCCCCCCACCCTCCCCCCCGCACCCTCTCCCCCCCGCCCTCCCCCCCCCGCACTCTCCCCCCACCCTCTCCCCCCCCACCCTCTCCCCCGCGCCCTCTCCCCCCCGCCCTCCCCCCCACCCTCCCCCCCGCACCCTCTCCCCCCCGCCCTCCCCCCCCCGCCCTCTCCCCCCACCCTCTCCCCCCCCACCCTCTCCCCCGCGCCCTCTCCCCCCCGTCCCCTCCCCCCCACCCTCCCCCCCGCACCCTCTCCCCCCCGCCCTCCCCCCCCCCGCCCTCTCCCCCCACCCTCTCCCCCCCCACCCTCTCCCCCGCGCCCTCTCCCCCCCGCCCTCCCCCCCCCGCCTCCCCCCCCTCTCCCCCCGCCCTCCCCCCCTCTCCCCCCCGCCCTCTCCTCCTCGCCCTCTTCCCCCCGCCCTCTCCTCCTCCCCCCGCCCTCCCCCCCCCGCCCTCCCCCCCCCCTCTCCCCCCCACCCCCCGCCCTCTCCCTCCCTCCCCCCCGCCCTCTCCTCCCCCCCCCACCCTCTCCTCCTCCTCCTCCCCCCACCCTCCCCCCCATCCTCTCCTCCTCTTCCCCACCGTCCCCCCCGGCCCCTCCCCCCCACCCTCTCCCCTTCCTCCCCGCATCGCTGCTTGTCGCCGGCAATGTTGCGTGCGCGTTTGTTGTTACCTGACGGCGAGATGTTAACTACCTCGCCTGGTACACAGGAGCTCGTGGGTTCGAACCCGACCCTGACGCCTGCTGCTGTATATTTGGAGTTTGCGTCTCTCTCTCTCTCTCATCATCATCACGGTGGCTAGGAGATGTTAACTACCTCGCCTGGTATACAGGAGCTCGTGGGTTCGAACCCGACCCTGACGCCTGCTGCTGTATATTTGGAGTTTGCGTCTCTCTCTCTCTCATCATCATCACGGTGGCTAGGAGATGTTAACTACCTCGCCTGGTATACAGGAGCTCGTGGGTTCGAACCCGACCCTGACGCCTGCTGCTGTATATTTGGAGTTTGCGTCTCTCTCTCTCTCATCATCATCACGGTGGCTAGGAGATGTTAACTACCTCGCCTGGTATACAGGAGCTCGTGGGTTCGAACCCGACCCTGACGCCTGCTGCTGTATATTTGGAGTTTGCGTCTCTCTCTCTCTCATCATCATCACGGTGGCTAGGAGATGTTAACTACCTCGCCTGGTATACAGGAGCTCGTGGGTTCGAACCCGACCCTGACGCCTGCTGCTGTATATTTGGAGTTTGCGTCTCTCTCTCTCTCATCATCATCACGGTGGCTAGGAGATGTTAACTACCTCGCCTGGTATACAGGAGCTCGTGGGTTCGAACCCGACCCTGACGCCTGCTGCTGTATATTTGGAGTTTGCGTCTCTCTCTCTCTCATCATCATCACGGTGGCTAGGAGATGTTAACTACCTCGCCTGGTATACAGGAGCTCGTGGGTTCGAACCCGACCCTGACGCCTGCTGCTGTATATTTGGAGTTTGCGTCTCTCTCTCATCATCATCACGGTGGCTAGGAGATGTTAACTACCTCGCCTGGTGTACAGGAGGTCGTGGGTTCGATCCTGACCTTGACGCCTGCTGCTGTGTATTTGGAGTTCGCGTGTCTCTCTCTCATCATCATCACGGTGGCTATGAGATGTTAACTACCTCGCCTGGTACACAGGAGGTCGTGGATTCGACCCTGACGCCTGCTGCTGCTGTGTTTGGAGTTTGCGTGTCTCTTCCCCGTGGTCGCGTGGATTTTTCTCCGGGTCCTCCGGTTTTTTCACCTCTACATTTAGAATGGGATCGTATCGATGTTTAATGGGATCGTATCGATGTTTAATGGGATCATAGTGGTGTTGATGGGATCGTAGTGATGTTGATGGGATCGTAGCTATGTATGATGGGATCGTAGTAATATCTAATAGGGTTTTCCCCTCTGCATTTAGAATCGACATCACGCGTTTAGAGTCGTTGGCTGCTGTACATTTTTCCACGTGTCGATAAGCCTCTAAGTTGATCTATCATTTGTGATGAGCAGGTCGCTTGCTGAAAAAGATCTGTAGAGCTTAGTGGGCCTTACCTGGTAAGGGGCCGTCCATAAATGACGTCACGCGATTTCGGACGATTTTTGACCCCCTCCCCTTCGTCACACGGCGTCACAAAAAGTCAGACCCCCCCCCTCAAATATGACGTCACAAAGCTTTGCCCCCCCCAAATAAAACTTGCTTCAAATCGCTTTAAACTATTGTCATTGTAGTGCGTATTTAATGCGGCGCTGCACTCTGATGTTGTAGGATAAAACATTTATTAAAACGTCTATTTAATTAAGTAGAACGTGTTGTCTATATTTATTTAAAGTTGCACATTTTGATGTGACGTCACATTTCTCAACCCCCCCCCCCCCATCGTCACACATCGTCACAGATGTCTGACCCCCCCCCCCCCCTACGTGCGTGACGTCATGTTTTAAGAGTTTGGATCTAAATTATTTAATGTAGCTGCCCTCAAAAGTGTTGGAACCACCTCAGTTCCGTGTCTTGGAATCTCCACTCTGTCCTCATTTGAATTGACTCTTGAAATCACTCAAGTTTAAGTGTGAATATTATTTGACATCATCGCTTGTTTTGCGTATTTTTTGTTTGTTTCATCTGTAATGTTTTTTGCCTGTAGCTCTGAGTCGCCCTTGAAAAGGAGCTGCTTAGCTCAATGGGGCTTTGTTCCGGGAATAAACTTCCGATTTCTGAATGTGTTAAATGCGCTCATGCTGTTAAATGTTGCTTACAATATTGTGTTATCGAGTTGACACCGTGGTCCAGATGTCTTGTGACCTCCATTGAATTGTCTAAATATTAACTTTCTTATAAAGCAAGGGTTTAATTCTTCACCTGAGGACGGCTGCTTGCGTTGTGGCCGAAACGTCATGAGAATTATTATATTATGTTTTATTTTTATTATTGTATTACTTCCCTTCTACATGATTTTACCGAAAGAACCAAGAAGAAGCAAGAGTTTATTTAAAACAAAATTAATATGTCTTCTTAAAACATAATAAAATACAATTGCATTTTATTATAAACATAATAAAATACAATTGTATTTTATTATGTTGTAGTTTTATTATTTTATTATTTTCCTCCTACGTGACTTTACCGAAAGAACCAAGAAGATGAATCCCTGCAGTCACGAAAGGGGGTCAATTCATTGGGGGGGGGGGGGGGGCGGTCACAAGACATTTGGACCATCTTGTACAGTGATCAAAGATCGATTTTCCCGCGTGGCTGCTGGACTATGAGCACACACACACCACATTGCGTTCGGTGTGGACTTAGTGGCCGAGTGTGATGATGCCTCTCTTTCTTGTGCGCAGGTTTTGGACTTTGGGAGTGGATAACAGAACAACGGCCTACCTTGAACAAGTCTCCACGCCCATGGATGTATAGAGTAGAGCCGACACAAGATTACAGGGGTTCGTCTATTACTGGTAGGAACGAAGTGAACCAGCCTACAATAGATTATATCGTCCGTCCATCCGTCCGTGAAGCAACATCGCCCCCTACTGCAAACACTTGGCAGGACCCTACAAAAACCTTTAGACTCAGTGACGCTTTCCTGGCTAAACAAGTGTAATAATACATTATGTTTATATTCTTTGGTTATTCTCTCATCCACACCTGTCCCCAGCCGTCCCAATCTCGTTCCCGCCAAAAGGCCCCCTTCTTCCCGCCCGTTCTCCCATTATATCTCCTCGATTACCCCTCCCACTAACCCTCCTATTGGTGGGAATCCTTCCCCTGACACCCCTACAGATGTGTGCAAGCCCACGGCAGGGCGCACTGGGCGAAGATTAGTGCACGCTTTTATTTAACTCACTCCGTCTGTTGTTGTATCCTCAAAAAAATTCTAACTTAAAATTTTACCCGCTTCCCAATGTGCTATCGACTGCAAACTTGGTCTACTTATGTCATACTGATGACAAGACAATATTCCATCATTAAGATTTAAAAATATATAGTTTTTTACATTTTACACACTTTTATTTAACTCACTCCGTCTGTTGTCGTATCCTCAAAACATCTTCTAACTAAATTTTTACCCGCTTCCCAATGTGCTATCGACTGCAAACTTGGTCTACTTATGTCATACCGATGACAAGACTATATTCTATCAATAAGATTAAAAAAACATGTTTTTTACATTTTACACGCTTTTATTTAACTCACTTTGTCTGTTGTATCCTCAAATCTTGTAACTCTATTTCAACCGTCTTCCCAATGTCGTATCGACTGCAAACTTGGTATAGGTATGTCACACTGATGACAATACTATATTCTATCATTGAAATTTTTAAATAAATATTTTTAAACAATATTTCTTACGGCTCTAATTGTCCACGTTTACGGCTCTAATTCTCGACGCTCAACTCACGTTGCCTGTAAATCACCACGTGGTCCCTTACGTCACGGCAAGCCTCGGGGACCCACGCCGAGGGGCGGGGGAAGTGGAAGGAGGGGAGGGGCGATGGGGGAAGGGGGCAGGGGGAGGGGCAGCTCGGACAGTACATTTCATTAAAACGTGTTT